GTTTTTTTATTTTTTACTGACAAAAAAAATCGCTTTTGGCACTCTTATGTACATATAGTATGGAACATTAATTAAAGCTGACAGACGTGCAAAGATTTTGGTGATATTTTTAGTTTAAGGTTTAAATAATCAGGTTAGAATACTGCGGAGTTGGTAATTTTTCATTTGCATACCCAACGCCCGACATCATCACAATAAATGTCTACTTGTTTAATATAGATAAATTAACATATTCGTGGTCTTTTTACAACATTTTATTACAGATTAGCTATCCTATCACTATCGTAAGACATCTGCCAGGATTACTTTGACAAAATAAAATACCTCAACTACGCGTCAAAAATCTAAGCTCATTGATACAATAAAAAAAAAATAAAAAAATAATTATAATAATTTTGTACGTTTCGTTAGTAATTAAAAAAATCTAATTTGCAGGTTATAATACGAGTATTATGTTAATTTTCATCACAGCTTAAGTATCTTATAGTTTAATTGTACCTATATTTGTTTTAAACGTAAAAAATTGTTTTTTTTCCTTCGAAAGCTTATCATAGATTTTCCCAAGAAATTTTTTTTTTATTGTTCTTATAAACATCGGCGACAAATGCCATTAGTTACAGTTATTTATACATACATTTATACCTATATACATTTTTTTTTTAATTTTAAATTTTATTATACAGATTTGTTTTGCTTAAAAATTCCAAAGAAATTATATCGTATTAATACATCATTAGATTATTAAAATATAAATAGTATACGATCAAAACAATAAATAAGTGAAATGCGCATAACTGGTAAACGAGGGCTATGGAAGAGTATGGAGCAATTTTTTTTTCAACTGCAATTAGGATTTCGTATTTTCATTAAGTTTCAAGTATTATGTTTAAGCAATACTTACTTTGATTAGTAAGTTTTAGAAATTATGTTGAGGTATACAACTATGAAAGATATTTAATAACTCTGATGAGTCAGGAAGAGACTGCCCTATCACTTAAATACATAATTATATTTATATGAATTGGTAAAAAATAAATAATTTTTTAATATAATATCATGTGATCTAAAGTAATTTATCATATAATGATATGTTGTTAGTGACTTATATTAGGGAGTAAATATAAATATATAATGTATTATATACTTAATAACTAGTTCAAAAACGTTTGTATTATTACTGCAGGGGTTTGATACGATACTGGATCGTTTAGATTTTCAAATTATTATATTATAATTTAATAATAATACGAAATTACGTAAATTAAGTAATTTTTCGAATGTCAAAAGTAAAATTATGATTCCAATTGCATTAATTATTAATTAACCTAAAATGAGATTCTTCTCCTATTTTTTATTCATTCATAATACAATTATATATGCGTGAATGCGYGATATATTGTTTGTTTGTTAAAATGTACAGGTCTTATAGAATGTGCAGYTTATTAGGTCTTAAGTCCGTTTAAAAATTTTAGGTAGGCAGCTAAATATAAATAATGTGCATGTCAATTTTATGAAATTTTAGAATTGTTTTTTTCAGTCTTGGTCCCTCGTTGCGCGTCAAATGCAAAATAAAAAAGATTTTAAGCAGTGACTCAAGCCCTCTATAGTTACTCGCTCGGTGATCCGAGACGGTTATTAGTTTATCACCTTCGTAAATCGTTAATTAGTATAAAAACACTCGTCGAGGCCCTTTGAGATACATTCTGTCACTYTTACGACGTCGCGAATGACACGCCTGCGGTGTGACGTTTGTATAATTTATGCGTATATTTTCGACCATCGCCCAATTATTGCTATTATTATTTCATATTTTTTTCCTTTCATTACCGACACGGAATAGTAACGCTCGACTAACACATAATTCTGGTGTCTTGGTATATCTACCTACCCGTATTCTGTCTAGTCTTCAGCTGAATGCGGGAATCGCGCGACCCACGTATATATTATAATGATACCTCAGGCGCAGTGCAGGTTTTTGCGATCGTATTATCGTTTATTTTCCATTCGACACTACGGGACTAAAGTAAGACCTACACAAGCTCGTTTACGAATAATATTTTTCATACAAAACAATAATATACCTACGTCCTACGCGATTTCAATTCAACAGGGCCGCGTTTCTTCGGGCACGACACAACAAGTCGACAACAATGTATGCACTTACGTATTTGTATATGGTAATAATAATAACACCCGTTCTAGATAACTGTATTTATATACAATGTAACGTGATCTGAGTGAGGGGATGGGGAAAATTTAATTACGATATTATATTGCTATCAAAAGAAGGATTTATATTGCAGGCTATATACTATATAGAGATAAGTTTTTTTCCATAACTGTGAATTCGAGTTCTTTTCTCTTAGGGCCTGTTTTACAATCATAGTTTAAACCTTGGTTACGCTTGAACCACTGATTTTACTGGCCGAATTCGGTGGTTTAACCTGAGTTCAACTATTGTCCTAAGAGGGTTTTTATATATTAGAAAAGACGTCTACCTGGCTATATTTTAATAATTCACTATCCTGTAGTATATCGAAAGATATGAATAAATATAGAAAAACTGTATATTTGCCTATTTGAGTTCGTTCATATTGATAGTGAATGTTAAACTGATTGTGCCATTTTAATGATAACTACTAAATAATAATTTTGACGGAGTAGAAAAGTGTTAAGTATGTATATTTTATTTTTTTTTAATGGGAAACTTATATAAAGTATTTATTTACTATTTAGTGTATAATGTAGCAAAAAATGTTACAATGGTTGGATAAATCTAGATACAGATCGTATAAAGAGGTAGATGAATATTAATATATTATACRCTCAGCCCAAATGTATTATTTAAATTTAATATGTTGTATTACCCTATGGTAAATGYATTGTTGTATTATTCAGTCATAAATCGTCGTATTTTATTTTAATAACACTAACACACATTTATAAATGGTTGATAACAAAATTATGACCTACTGAATATGTATATTGATTATTAGTTATTGGCTATCTGCTCACTGCTTCCCACATAATAGCAAAATTGTTGTGGAGGCTGACGATTGTATCAATAAAGATTTAAGATAATACTGTCTACAGTTTGATAATGGAAATCCGTCGATACACACGCATCACTTATATTCCATTCGCAGTTGGAAGTGCGACGTGATATATTATTTTGTTATATGATTTACAAGTTACTACTACAACATGGTTGACATTTAAATTTGTAAACAATATTTTATTTTGAAATTTTAAAAAGGTATTTGATAATAGAAGAGTAATTTTAAATTGTAAATAATTCAATAAAGAAATTCAATTCAATTTAAGAAAAATAATATTAATTATAATCAATAAGCAGTTATTGCATATTTATAATAAGAAAGTATAAAGTATATATATATATATACTCGTATTTATTAGTAGGGGTAAATATATTTCAATATTTTTAATCCGCCCCTAATTTTAATTTAGGCTGAATCCGCRCCTGTTATACAGTGTAGCGTGCAAAGTGTGCACACCAATAGTTAGAGAAGTACCTACTTAAGATGCATAATAAAGAATTAAAGAACTCGTAGTTTTTGTAATATTCTAGTTATTTAGTTAATCATAATAATTATGCTTAAATTGAAT